TCTAGGGAGTGTGGCCTCGGTCATGTCGTGGACTGGTGTCCGACTCCTGCTGTGTAGCGACGGCAGGGACTTCTGAACCATATTGTACCAGCAACAGTTGCAATTGTGTCTGAATCTGAGTCAATTGAACTTGCAGCGACTGGATGTCTGTCTGAATCTGTGTAACTTGGCGTGAGAGTCGACGTTGGTGACTGACCAAGTTATGTAAAATTGCCTCGTGTGTGGTATCTGAACTGCTATCACCCATCCAGAGGCCCCGACAGCAACCACACGATGCAAGCGGTGGCTGTGAGAAATCCAGCACAGAAACTGCAAAAAGAAAAATGAAAATACTGCTGTTGCAAATGACCCAGAATGATGTGATGTGAGGTAGCAACGCAACCACGGTCAGCTGGAGTTCCACGACGTCGCATCCAAAAGAAAATTGGGATGCCACAACAAAAGGTTTCCCGCCCACCCTCCACTTAAACCGAGATGTCACACAAGATAAAAAATGAGTTGTCACACTGAAAGAACAGTTCTGGATCACGACATGCATCTGAAACTGCTGTCTGATAAGAACAGATATTGCCAGCACCCTCATGCTCACAGAAAGACACAGGGTAAAAAGGACAACTGAAAAGTGTGACATGTTTAAGTTGAGTGTTTGTGTGTTTGGTTTTCGCAAGCGTACGGGTCGCAGCAACGCGTAGAAGTTTAGAAGGCAAACACTCCAAGTTACCCCAAGAGCCTTTGAACCAAGTTCAAAGGCAGGTTAACCAAGGAGGAATAAAGGGACTATCCTAACCTCGTACCTCGGACGGAGGCGACCCATATATGAGATCTATAGAACTTGCATGCGCCGTGCGCCAGCCAAGCCCGTGCGTGCGTGCACTCTGCGAAAGTGGTGTCCTGTTTCACATGTCACATTTGAAGCTCCACTTCGCACTTCACGCTTCACACTCCACACTTCACACTCCACACTCCACACTTCACACTGCACGCTTCCCACTGCACACTCCACACTTCACACTTCACACTTCACACTCCACACTTCACACTTCACAGTCCACACTTCACACTTCACACTCCACACTCCACACTTCACACTCCACACTTCACACTTCACACTCCACACTTCACACTTCACGCCCCACACTTCACTCTTCACACTTCATCTCATCTGAGCTCTTCTCACCTTATCCCAGCTCATCTCTTCTCATCTCATCTCTTCTCATATGTCATCTAAGCTTTCATGAATCACTTCCCAGTACTACTCCTAAGGAACTTGCATGCGCCGTGCGCCAGCCAGGCCCGTGCCTGCGTGCTTTGTGCGAAGCTGTTGCAGTGTTGCTGTCCAAGAACATGACCTGCGCGCGACCCCGGTACAATGCAAACACTTTCCTCACACTTCACATTGCACTCTTCACACCCCACACTCCACACTCCACACTTCACACTTGCACTTCATCTCAACTCATCTCATCTGAGCTCTTCTCATCTCATTCCATGTCTTCCCATATGTCAGCTAAGTTCTTCTTGGCTATTTTCATGTCAAGTACTCCCCAGTACTGATGTCTACTACAAAAGCTTGCAAAAACAACTTCCCAGTACTACTTTGCACTACAAAGCTTGCACAAAACACTTCCCAGTACTACTTTGTACTACAAGGCTTGCACAAAACACTTCCCAGCACTACTTTGTACCACAAAGCTTGCACAAAACACGTTCCAGTACTACTTTGTACTACAAAGTTTGCACAAAACACTTCCCAGTACTACTTTGTACTACAAAGCTTGCACAAAACACGTTCCAGTGCTACTTTGTACTACAAAGCTTGCACAAAACACTTCCCTGTACTACTTTGTACTACAAAGCTTGCACAAATCACTTCCCAGTACTACTTGTACTACAAAGTTTGCACAAAACACTTCCCAGTACTACTTTGTACTACAAGGCTTGCACAAAACACTTCCAGTACTACTTTGTACCACAAAGCTTGCACAAAACACGTTCCAGTACTACTTTGTACTACAAAGCTTGCACAAAACACTTCCCAGTACTACTTTGTACTACAAAGCTTGCACAAAGCACTTCCCAGTACTACTTTGTACTACAAAGCTTGCACAAGCTACTTCCCAGTACTACTTTGTACTACAAAGCTTGCACAAAACACGTTCCAGTACTACTTTGTACTACAAAGCTTGCACAAAACACTTCCCAGTACTACTTTGTACTACAAGGCTTGCACAAAACACTTCCCAGTACTACTTTGTACCACAAAGCTTGCACAAAACACGTTCCAGTACTACTTTGTACTACAAAGCTTGCACAAAACACTTCCCAGTACTACTTTGTACTACAAAGCTTGCACAAAGCACTCCCCAGTACTACTTTGTACTACAAAGCTTGCACAAACTACTTCCCAGTACTACTTTGCACTACAAAGCTTGCACAAAACACGTTCCAGTACTACTTTGTACTACAAAGCTTCTACACACATCAAGTTCTTTCGCAGAGAAGCTTTTACACACAGCAAGCTTTTCAAGCAGAGAAGCTTTTACACACAGAAGCTTTTACACACAACAAGCTTCTTCACAGAGAAGCTTTCACACACCAAGCGTTTACACACAGAACACTTACAAACAGTGCTTTTACACATGGCAAGCGTTTACACACAGAAACTTTTGTACAGAGACGCTTTTACACACAGAGAGGCTTTTACACACACTTACACACAGTGCTTTTACACATGGCAAGCGTTTACACACACAGCAAGCTTTTTAAACAGAGAAGCTTTTACACACAACAAGCTTTTACACAGAAAGCTTTACACAGCAAGCTTTCACACCCAGCAAGCTTTTACACACAAAATCTTTTTCACACAGCAAGCTTTCACACACAGCAAGCGTTTACACACAGAACACTTACACACAGTGCTTTTACACATGGCAAGCGTTTACACACACACAGCAAGCTTTTTAAACAGAGAAGCTTTTACACACAACATGCTTTTACACAGAGAAGCTTTTACACACAGCAAGCTTTCACACACAGCAAGCGTTTACACACAGAACACTTACGCACAGTGCTTTTACACATGGCAAGCGTTTACACACACAGAAACTTTTACACAGAGACGCTTTTACAGAGAAGCTTTTACACACAGCAAGCTTTTACAGAAAAAGTTTTGCACAGAGAAGCTTTCTTGTACATAATCACAACAGGAATTGCAGCTCCAAAACCGGATCTCGACGCCAAAGCGACAAAAAGACGATTTTGAAGCACTTTTTAAAAGGAATTTTAAAAGGAAAATTATTAGCGCCAAAATTGAGAAAATCTGCTGACAAATCACTTTCGCAGCCTTGATGCAGCCATTTCAATACGATTTACGATCTTCAGCTGCAAAAGACAATAGTATTACGCATGCAGCCGCTGCACCAAGCAACCTTGACGCAGCCACTACAATGCGATCTGCAGAGACTGAGTTGCAAAGCACAATAGAACTACGTGCAATGGCGTCGGAAATTGCAGCTCCAAAACCGGATCTCGACGCCAAAGCGACAAAAAGACGATTTTGAAGCA